TCAAGATCTCTTATACATGAGTTATAAATAAGAATTATTAATGAAAAATAATTGGCGGTGGCTTGTAACATCAAATAATCTATGCCAGGTGGATGGCTCTGTTTTCACTAATCAACCATATGTGATTGGATTAAAGCAGGAACTTTTCTATTTTGATGCCCACTTTCTGATATTTTCACACTCATTTATAGTGATTTCACAAAAACCAATAAAGGAAACATGATATTCAAAGAATATCTCACAACTACAAGTAAATTTATTAAATAAATGTGATTGGAGTGTAAATCTCTTGTTTTGTTAATAAGGATATCTTAATTAAATAATCTGATGTTTAACGCAAAACAATTGTTCAGTTGATGGTTTGCCTTAAACTTTTTCCTTTATTGTTTACCTAAACATGAAAAGTCTATACATAATTGTTCTCTTACATTACGTCCTCCCAACATACTGTTGAACTGTACTTTCAAACAGATTCTCCTAGTCAGGTGCAGTCTGCCTCTAAGTATTATATCTTGGATACTGAAACAAATCTCTCATGCGTCTGATTCTTTTGGTCACTGTTGGAAAATAATTGACGTTCCAGAGCTACAAACTAAACATTTGTTGGCAATGCAAATTATATGAGGATAGACTTCTAATTGGAATCACAATAGAGTGCCTTTTAGCCTTTACAGAAGGATAACTATCTGATTTGCATCTTAATTATAGTGTTTCTATTCAAATATTAGCCTACTCCACTTGACCTCTTTGATTTGTTATTACAGAAGTCAGTATACATAAGAACATAAAAAGAGTGTTATTTATTCAGTAAAAGATCTTTATCCAGAATACTATCCATAGTGGTCAACCAGATGCCTTTGAGAAGTCCACTAGCAAATGATTAGTGCAATGCAGCCCTCCTATTTGTGTTCCTTAGCAACTGATATTCAAAAGATACAGACCCTAATAAAGGAAGGCAAATAATTTGCTTAGGTAGGGTGGGGATTAGGAAGATTCCAAAATTACATCTCCTTTAGTCATAGATTTATTATATAGTGAGTGTAGAAACAGAATATATACTGATTCTGTTTTCCTTCTTTACAATTCGCTTTTGTTATTGGTAGTATATTATATTTACATTACATGCATTACAGTCACCCAAATGAAGAGTACTTCATTTTAATCAAAAGTTAGTCATTGTGTGTTGTGCTTGAGATATTCTGAGCTTTTTGTTTGCATGTATCTGTATGTAGTTATTGTTATTTACAAGAGAAATGCCTTTCTAAATTTGCTTCAGTTGTTCATATGTTGCTTTCTTTTAACAGATTATGGCTGGTTCCATAAATAGCACTGTCTTAATATTGCAACTGATACCATCTGTGTTTGTTTTCCTTTCTTTATAGTACCCTCAATAACAACAACATCTCACGCATCCCTCTCACCAGCTTCAACCATATGCCAAAGATCAGAACCTTGTAAGTACTCTATCATGAATCACTCAGGACTTCCACTGACATATATGGGCACTGCGGATCTTTGTGTCTTGATTCATTGATGAAAACAAAGGCAATGTAATAGCTGCTTCTAAGAAAAGTGCTGTTCTTTTGTTACTCTTTTATTTTAGCATAGACTATATGGAGAAGCCTAACTAGAGGTGGGAGAGATTAGTGGAAGAGAACTGGATCTACCATTGTAGGTAGATGTTACTCAACATTTTTGTTTTTCCAGAGAGGCCAAGATGTCATGTCAAAATGTAGAGGACTATAGAATATGGAGAAATGTGTTGCTTTGTACAAGGCCAGTGTTGTCAACAGTTGGTGAACTGTTCCTTGAAGGAAGCCATATGGAAAAATATTAGGTGATATGTTTGTAAAAAGAGCAGAAGGAGGAATGGCAATTATTGTGCATCCTTTTCCTCCTTTAAGTCTTCCACCACTGTTCTAGAAAATAGGACTATATTTTGGCTTCAAAAGTCTGCGCAATCATCAAATCACAGCAAAAAGATATAGGAAAGACTAGCTTTTTTCTGAAATCTAATGGCTGCATAGATCTTTGCAGACCGCATATGATATGGAGACTCTTAAACTTTCAGAGAGGAGTTTCAGGTAGTTCCCACTCGTCTTGTTGGAAGAAGTATCCCCTGGGTAGAACTCTGCTCAAAACATTAACCTTTCAGGAAAGTTAGGATTACCAACAACAGAATTTGGTATTGCGTTAATTTCAGCTGCCTTTACAATCTTTATATGTAGCTAGCTATAGCTATAATATGAAAATGACTGGAAGATCTGGAGTTCTAGTTCTGCTGTAAATATAAAATCAACTGGATCACCTTGGGCCAGTCCCTCCCTCACAGCCTAGGAAGGAGGTAATAACAAACAACTTCTAAAATCTGAAAGAGGGAGAAGTCCTGGCAATTGCCAGGAGTCAACACTGACTTGAAGATGCTAGAAAAACAATTAAAAAACAAATTAGAAATAACTGTAATGTAAATATTATTGCAATATTGATGATGGAGTATGAGGACTCCATGGTATGGTAAGAATATAAATATAAATCAATACTTAAACCTGTACTTTTTAATTTTGTTGTTTGTTTATGTTGTGTCATTGGCTATGTCTACAGTTCACAATAAGACACAGTTTATTTGAAGTGTATCGAATTGGGGGCTGCTTTATCAATAGCATTAAGTACAAATCAAAGAAACCACATTATGACTTAATATGATTGTCTGTTGAATTCATCCTAACCAAAGAAATGCTGACCTATTGCCATTCAAAAATGCTAAATCTTTCTTAACCTCTCATGCACCAGATGTACAACTTCCATATATCCTTTTTAGCTATATAGAGTGAATTTTACAACTTAACCAACACAAATGTGAATACACTGCTGAGAATAACTAGGTCTTCACAAACTACTTGGAGCAGTGCTTTTTGAAACAACAAGCATCTCTGAACCTTTTGTTCTAAGTATCTTCTCCTTCAAAGATACGGCATAGCTGCTTTGAAGGTTCCCAACATTGTTTGAACATATGTACAGTAAAAGAAGCCAAGAGTGCCTCAAGAGGAAAGCTATTTTCTTATTCCCTTGAATACATTCATGATTCATATTTGAATGCCTTTCATTTTTATTGCTTATAAATTATATTTGGAATTAAATATTGGTGCCATTTAATTTTAACAGTGTTGAGATCTCCTCTGTGGTTCAGTCACATATTAAGAGCAACCGTAGTTTTAGACTATTTCTTCTCAACACATTTAACAATGAATTCTTCTGTTACAGATTTGTGAAGCTTGAAGTTAAATAGTATCTGTCAGAATGCACGTCAGTCCACTAAGATCAATAAGGGGCTGCTTTTTGTAGCCTATCTCTTAAGTGCAAAAAATGCAAGAATATCTTTACATTTTATTTCTAATGGACTTTTCAGTTTAGAATATTACAACTTGTGCAGGTGTAATCTGTTTGTAGATATCATAGCATTAGTAATATATATGAGATATCATTGGCTCTTATTATCCACAATAGTCTGTGACTTTAATTATGGTTTTAAACTTACAATATATGAATTAATTAATGCTATGCAGAAACATTTTTTCTGATTTTTGTTTATCCATCATTCAGTGTTTTCATTCCCCCCCCCAAGAGGCGTAAAAGTCTAATTTGGTGACATTCACATAGATGGATGTGTGTGTGAGAGTGAAAATAGTGAGAGGGAGGGAGGAAGAGAGAGAGGGAGGGAGGGAGGGAGGGAGGGAGAGAGAGAGAGAGAGAGAGAGAGAGAGAGAGAGATATCCTATATTGCATTATCCAATGAGCCAATGATCTTCAGGGCCCATGGATGCCCCTATTTGAATTAAATCTTACAGGAAAGCTGCTAGAGAGAACTGTTCTTACTGAGTGTTGTCACATGGAGGGACAGGGATAAAGCACTGTTTACCCTACCTTTCTATAGAAATAAATTAAGTTCTAAAAAACCCCTCCACTCCACATGTCAACACAGATAAAGTTTGAGATAGGAAAAACAAAACTATCTTTTTCCAAAGGAGAAAAGTTTTAGGAAATTGGAGTATAGATTTTGGCATCATATGAGCTTTTATTAATTAAAAGGTGTTTATATTTTTTTTTGAATTTTCATGGAAATATCCTAAGCTTGTATCTTGACTATTTCAAATCGATCCGTAAATGTGATAAGCTGATAAGGTCTTCTGCCATTTTCCTTTTAGTTTAATTTAAAAGATGGCCTTGTATGTAGTTCCCTGGAGACTTATATTGACTAATTCCCTTTTACTATAATTAAAGGGGAAGACAGGGAAAGAAATCATAAATGGGATTTCAGAGAGAGTTTTTATATTGAATTTTAACAATTACGTTTTATGAAACTTGAATGCTGACACAAAATGATATTCTAGAAATTTAATTTAGGCTGTAACTAAATGTACACCTTTAGAAATTACAAAGTATACAGTATTCATTCATCTTTTGTATGCTATAAATACCAGTTACATTCATTTTAAAGGGGCTCTTTCAATACATGTATGCTACGAAATAATTTATGAAGCTTCTTAGCAGTCTTGCTCTTAATGAAAATTGTAAGACCGGAATGATAATAAAAAGGTTACATTTCTCATTTTATGTTTCATCTATTTTGTTGCAGTCTCCATTGTTCATCAGACCAAAACAAAAACAAACAAACAAAAAGATGTGGCTAATAATATTTCCATTTACTATCACCCTTTACTGCCAATTTCAACCTTTCGTGTTTTAAGAAATAAATCATTATGGCTGGAAGATGGGATACTTTGTTTAATTTCAAGCTCATTTGAAATTAAGAAAAACTGTACAACAACACTGCAGCATTTAATACATGTGTCTTGCTATGATTAATCTATTATTCTGTGCCTTTCCTAATTTCTTTTTGTTTGTTTGTTTTATGGATTTGTTTAAACATCCTCATTTAGAACTAATAAGAATTGTTGTGCATTGATCTGCTTTCATTTCCATTAGAAAGCTATATTTATAGAATTTATTAACCTGCATTCATTTTGTCTCATTTTAT